CCTCTCTGGAGGTCTGCTGAGATCAAAGCCGCTACACAAATGGCGGTCTGAACCCACTCTCTCAGGCTGTCTGCTAGGATCAGGTACTGATTTTATTTTTAGCTGAACATTGCTCTAGCCACGGGCAGCTAAATTTAATGGTGACAGTCATACAGTTAAAACTGATAGCATTTTCCTCTTGCTTCTGTGTCTTCCTTCATAGCCCTCTGAATCCCTTCATTAGATGATTGAAAAATTCCAAGCAAGAAGAGTTGCATTAATTTTTTTGGATACCCCCCTTATAATTCCTACTTTCATTTGTGGTGGGAAATCGTGTTGTTAGATAAAAGTGAAGAAGAACAAGGCATGGGATGGCTCATTTGGCCAAATGCTTGCTGCATAAGCATGAGGACCTAAGTTTGGGTCCCTAGTTCCCACATAAAAACCAGAAATGTATGCACATCTGTAAGCCCAGTGCTAGTAGGGTAGACAGGCATGTCCCTGGAGCTCATAGTCCAGTCAGTTTAGCCAAATAGTGAGCTCCAGGTTCAGTAAAAGATCCTATTTTAAAAATTAAGGAGAGCAACTGAGAAAACACCCAGTTGATGTCGACCTGTGACCCCCACATATGCATATGAATGTCCATCTCTCTCTCTCTCTCTCTCTCTCTCTCTCTCTCTCTCTCTCTCTCTCTCTCTCTTTCACACACACACACACAGTGAAGAAGTCTTTTTTTTTTTTTTTAAACTAGAATAGTTTGACTGGGACAAGAAAAGAACAGTTGGTGGGGAGCTCTCTTACTATCATTTTACCCGAAGCCTTTTGTATTAGATAGGTGTTTGGTGGTTTTGTTTTTATAAATTGATATGTATGTGCGTGTGGTGTGTGTGTCTAAGTCCAGGCACACATGCCACAGTGAGCATGTAGAAATTAGAGAACATTTTCCAGGTGTTCTCACGTTCCACCTTGTTTTGAGGCAGGGTCTCTCTGGTTTCTGTCATGCTGTATTCCAGGCTAGCTGGCCACACCTTCCAGCTGACTCTCCTGTTTCTGCCTCCCAGCTTTCCATAGTAGTGTTGGAATTACAGATGCATAGCACCACAGTCAGTTTTACGAGAATTCTGGGAATCCAAACTCTGGTCATCACACTTGCGTGGCAAGCACTTTTACCTGCTGGGCCATCTCCCTGGCCTGTGGTGTGTTTTATACTAGCTGTGTGTGTGTGTGTGTGTGTGTGTGTGTGTGTGCTGGGCTCAGGAGCTTGTGGAGTATGTTCTTCATGAAATTGTCTTCAATTACTTCTCAGAATTATACATTTAGGTCATTTTTCTACCCCCATGGACATAATTTTGTACATTTTTTATTATCAGTCCTAATTTTGAAAGTATGTAAAAAGTGAGGAGGAATGTTTCTAGTATCATCATCCCCTCTGTGAACCACACTTGAATGTTCTGCTTAATAAAAGGATAGTAAGCTGGAAAAAGATAGCATGTGCTAATAATGGAAATAGGTAGGTTTTTACTACTATGAGCTAAAACCAAATGAGTTTTCTTACTTAAGGACTCTAGTAATGGATCATTTTGCTCTTAGAAAGGAGGGCCACAGCTATTCTGCGCTAGTGGAGGCAGGAAGCAATATCTTGCCTGCTATAACCCAGGTATGGTATCAGGATCCAGGACCCGGGAAAAAATAAGATAAGCCACTGTCGTACTCTTCATGAGGCCTGGGAAGTCCACCAGGGGGCTGTTAAGACACTAGTGTGGGAGACCCAGTGGACCAGCATAGAAACTGTCCAATTAGTACTTTTTGGTGGTGTGTGCTAAGCCATTGAGTCTCTTGTGTTAGTTGCAAGCTGCCATCCTGGCAGTCATCTGATTCCCAAGGATCACTTTTGGAAGCAGTAGAGCTATGAGAGATGTGAAGGCTAGGGAAGGTATTTCTGAATGGAGAGGAGGAAGGTGTTCCAAGGGTCAGAGGCAGCAAATCAAAACCATGGCATCCAGAGTGAGATGACTGGATGATATAGGGCCCATTGACAAGTTCACAAACTACTGCGGTAAACCAGTGACTTCTGAAGTTACATTTAGTCAGACAGGCTGCATTTGCCTGTGGTCAGTGAATGAAGGAGACAGTTGGCACCACTGCATGCCGCTGGAATGATGGCGCCCCACTGAGCTACACTGCACTAGAAGCATAGGATCCACCAGGCCTCTGCCTGCTAATCATTTCTCCAGACATTCCAATTGCTGCACTTCAGTAGCTGGTCAATATCTAGGTTTTTTACCATTGATACCATTTCATTTCTGTTTCTGCTTGTGTATTTCAGATTTTCTAAATGCTTCACATTCTTACTCCTTTACAAGCAGCTCAAATGGGCAGGTTGCCTGTTTCTAGAGAGAAGAGGGACCCTAATGGGTCCACTGGACCTTCATGATGGATTTAAAAAACAGATGTTGAGGAATGTACTCTGACTCATGCCCATATATATTGTGTTTAAAAAGAATTCAGAGGTGAGCCTGAAGATTTTTTAAAAATCACTTTTAAAGATTTTATGGGGCTGGAAAGATCTTTCAGTGGTTAGGAGCACTTGCTGTTGCAGAGGACCAGAGTTTAGTTCCCAGCATCGAGAGACTCACAACTGCCTATAACTCTAACTCCAGCAAATTCGACGCCCTCTTCTGGTTTCTTACCACACATGGGTGCTTGCACGCATGCATACATATATATACAGACACACACAATTTAAAATTCTTTTTTTAGACGTCTTTTTAAATTTTTTATTTTCATTTTATGCATATGCATGTGTTGCCTGTATTTATCTAAGTGCACCTGTGTTGTGCAATGCCAGTGGAGGACAGAAGAAGCTGTCGGATCCCCTGGAACTGGAGTTACGGACAGTTGTTAGCTGCCATGTAGGTGCTGGGATTCAAACCCGGGTCTTCTGCAAGAACAGTCAGTGTTCTTAACCACTGAGCCATCTCTCCAGCCCCTTTTTAAATGTTTCATAATACTTCAATGTCAGTGAACAGCTTAGTATCTGAAAGAATCCAATCACTCTGCAAAAAAGCATATTTTGCATCCTTAGAGTAGAATAGGGAGTCCAGTAGAGGATGAACCAAAGCTAAAAAAGCAGCCAGCTTTTTACAGGGCTTAAAGAAATTATTTTGAGCTAGGTGTGGTGATAGGGACAGGTGGATCTCTCTGAGTTTGAGGCCAGCCTGGTCTCCACAGCAAATCCAGGCTAGCTGTGGCTACAAGGAGACCCTGTCTCAAAAAGACCAAAAAGAAATGTATTTTTTAGGGGACAGATTTTGATAGGGAATAAAGCATTTTTAATGATAAAGGAGCATGAAAATCAGTGCTGTCACCTGCCCTATTGACCAATAGTCACTACCAAATTCATTAAGCAATTTTCTGTTTTAGTTTATGTATTTTAAAGAACTGTGTAATTCAATATGTTTTTACATAGATGTGTGTGCATGTATAAGTCAGATTGAGTAATTCTTATCTGAATATGTGAAATCCAAAATGCTCAAAATCCAAAAACTACTGGGCTACCACAAGTGCAAAATTCCATACCTCAACCTCATAGATGAGTCTGCTTTGTGACACTATTCCTGGGGGGACAGGAACAAACGTTTACTCGCCCCAGATTAGGGAACCAGCAAAGTCTAGCTTGGTAAACTGGTAAGTTTTATTGGGGTTATTTACAGAAGTATGGGTGGAGGGGGTGTTACTTACAGGAGCAGAAATGACTCAGACACAGCTGGATCACCAAAAGCCCACCCCAATGTGGGTAATGGCTCATGAAAGCTGAAAACCTAGAGTACACTGCACAACCTGCAGGGAGCTCAACAGGCTGGAGAGTGCCCTTTCTAGGTAGTTCAGTTGGTTTGAGCCTCTTCTAGGCAGCTCAGCCTGTCTGAAGAGTATCACTAAGCATCCTTAGGGCTTATATGTGCTTGAAAATGGAGGGGGCCTAGTGAACTTGGTCAATTTCAAGAACTTCCTGAAACTATGAGTTGTTTACTTCCTTTTAGAACATCCTTTCTTAATGAGCTTCCTCCAAGATGGCTGGTTTTACCTCGGAGGAAATTGGCACACAACAGGGTCACAGTCAAGATAGCAAGGGCACAAAAAATATTGAATAAAATTATCTTCAGTCTATACAGGGTGTGTATGAAACATTAATAAATTTTGTATTTAAGGTTGGGCCCCATCCTCAGAAAAAATATCTCACTATGCATGTGCAAACATTTCAAAATCAAAAACAGTCTGAAGCACTTTGGGTCCCAAGCATCCCTGACAAGAGCACTTCAACCAAATGCATAAAGCTACCTGTCAATGTGTATTATGTATCTATTTATGTTATTTTGTTCCTACTGGTTTCCATAAATATTTAATTTAATCTTCATAGCAAATCTCAAAACATTAATACTGATTCTCACTTTAGAGGCAAGGAAAGTCATTTATGTATTAGGTGGCTCTCTAAGTTAAAAAATGGCAGAGCTCCATTCAAACTGGTAGAGGTTTCCTAGTGCCTAGACCTGAGTTTTCTGCCTTTCATCTTCCCGGATATATTAGTAGCCGTACAGAAGTAAAAGGGTCCCCAACTCAGCCAGAGTTTGCATACCCCATGATACCCAAGTCCCAAGTGGAAGACACTTCACTTCACCTGCTGGGCTGTCCAATATCAGAGCCAGTAACCAAGATGACTTTTTAAACAAGTAGAACTCACTGAAATTAAAAATTAGGTGCTTGGTTGACACCACACATTTTCAAGCACTCCATAGCCATACATGGCAAGTGACTCCATATTGAATGGAACAAAGTTTTCATTATTCTAGAAAGTTCCATGGGACAGTACTTTGAGCCAGACGTTGGTCCAGTCAACAGAGGTTTTCTTTTGTGCTGATCTGTGATACCTGGTGACAAGTGATGAACGCTTGGCCAACAGCACTCTCCCCTATCAATTCTGTGTCTGTCAACGTCCTTCACGCATGCTCCCTTTTTCTTCCAAGGAGGAAGTTGGCCGGATATGGAAGATGGAGCTCCTCAAAGAATCAGATGGGCTGGGAATTCAGGTTAGTGGAGGCCGAGGATCAAAGCGCTCACCTCACGCTATCGTTGTCACCCAAGTGAAGGAAGGAGGTGCCGCTCACAGGTGACTAGATAACTGTCCCCCATCCCTCTGCCTCTTGTCCTCCTTCTATCCTTCCCCTGGGAGCTGGGTAGTGGGTTAGTGTCTTCCATTTGATCAAAGCCCTGGGAATTATAGTTCATAAAGATATGTTGGTGCACAGAAGGAAATCAGATGGAAGAGTTGTTCTAACTGATCACATCTCTGAGCACAGGAAACAGCTAGTTGGGAAGGGCATTTCAGGGTATTCCAAACCACGGAGGAAAGATCTGATCGCTTTGTAGTCCAGTTTTAGTTTCAAGCAAATGTTACTTATCCTAACTCTTCGAATGCTGACACTGTGGTGATATGTGGTTACTTATTGAGAAAATGCCACTGAACAGAGGACCACATTCCTGAAATCTTAATTCCTGTGACTTGGGAAAGTAATGTTGGTTTTTAAAGGAAAATGCCACTGAACAGAGGACCACATTCCTGAAATCTTAATTCCTGTGACTTGGGAAAGTAATGTTGGTTTTTAAAGTGGCCACTATGTGGTCTGTCAGATCTATCAGGGTTTCTCACACAGATGTATGCTTGCTTTCACATGTCTGTTGTGCACATGTGGAAGGGAAAAAAATAAATGTATCTTCTCCATGTAACCTAAAGACAGCACACATTTAACAGTTTATTTTCAATTTGAACAATTGTGTGACGTAGTGAGATGGACAGTGTTCAGGTACAGTATATATTAAACAGTGGATGTAGCCTTTCCCAAATGTCAAGCATGTTCTTTGCTCTGCTTCTCACTTCCAAACACATGTAGTACCTGCTATTTACAAGGCATGGTGCAGTGTGTACATGTTATATACCCACACATGTACAATAAGTGTGTCTAGGGAGAATTCCACTGATGAAAGATGTGATTGTCTTTGGTCTAGTCTGGAATTTGTTTAGGCAAGGTAACAAAGACTGAGAGAGATCTCAGATCTATCTCATAGGTATAGCTGAAGAAACTAGAGATATTTAGACTAATGATTGGTAAATTAAAAAGAAGACCAGGCACAAACTGGGAAAATATTTCCTGCTCTACAATCCTAGTGCAGAAGGCTAGGAATAAGTAGAGAGAGGTTTAACTGCAACTGTCAATTACCCAAATGACAGTATTATTAAGAGATTAGGACCTGAGATAGTTTTAACCCAGATTAGCATCATTAAACTTCCTGAATGACATTCCTGATGTGCCTTAAGGAACTTTCATCAGGTTTTTCCATTAATCCTGGGTCTTACGTTCTAGTCTATTTGGCAAGTTGGCAATTGGAAGATTCCTGTTCTCAGAGATAAGCTTTACAAGGAACTCTCCTTGTTTCTTTCCAGCAGAGTCATTGCTAAGTCAGTCTCATCTTTTCATTCTTAGCCTGGAGTTGTGTGTCTCTCTTCTCTATGGTGTATGACTCACAAATGGGGCATTCTAATTAATAACAGCAGAGAATGGGATTAAAAAGTGGGATAGGGCCAGGTGTGGTGGTGCACACCTTTAATCCCAGCACTCGGGAGGCAGAGGCAGGCGGAGCTCTGTGAGTTCAAGGCCAGCCTGGTCTACATAATGAGTTCCAGAACAGCTGGGGCTACAGGAAAACCCTGTCTCAAAAAGACCAAAAAAAAAAAAAAAAAAAAAAAAGTGGCATAGGGAAAGGGATGTGCTTGGATGGGACTCTGGCCAGGACCATTGAATTACCTATGCTAGATCCCCCTCCACCTGAGGGATCACATCCTGAGTGGTCCACTGGAGATTTCAGTGTATCTCTCCCCTGTGATTTTTCCCATTCCCTTTCATTCACCATGAAAATCAACGTTTCTCTGCTTTAGGAATTTTTGAATGACAGAAAGCAGAGGCTGTTGGAGCAAAGCAGAGGCTGTTGGAAGGCTCCTGTGTCTCGCCTTCTATTAAAGCCTAAATTCATAAAAAAGATTACCATATGTACCCTAAAGGAACGAGCAGCAAGAGAGCTATTGAAGGCAGAAAAAGGGGAGGTTAAGATGAAAGGGGAGGGGTGCTGGAGAGATGGCTCAGCAGTTAAGAACACTGAGTGTTCTTGTGGAAACCTGGGTTTGAATCGTAGCACCCACATGGCAGCTAACAACTGTCCGTAACTCCAGTCCCAGGGGATCCGACAGCCTCTTCTGACCTCCAAGGGCATTGCACGACATGGGTGCACTTACCTGCATGCAGGCAATATACACATACACATAAAATAAAAATAATAAAAAATAGTAAATATTTTTTAAAAACAAGATGAAAGGGGGAAAGTTGGTTGATTCATTGAAAGGAAGCACAGAGGAGTCTATAGACTGGACAGAAGCAGGGCTAGGTGAATCTGGGAGGATGCAAGCCATGCATGGGTTCCATGGCAGCACCTGGGTCATGTAGCAAGCCTTGAGGGGAGAGTAGAGCCCTACATCCATGGTCTCTGCCTCACCAGATTTTCTATTCCAAGACTGGGCTCCTTTTTGATCATGGGAGATCAGAAATTAGCAGCTCAGTGGAATCCACTACAGGTGCCCAGCCTGCATTCTCTAGAGTAGTGTGCACTAAGGGCCATGTCGTCCCCCCGGGGGGCGGGGAGCCCATGACAGCAGAGCCTCCTGCCCAGTATGAAAGAAGCTCAGAGTCAGCCCTAATTGATTTAAATTAAAAGAAACAAATAAAAAACTATTTTCATGCCCATGGAAATAGGCCAAATTTTATACTATAGCAAGTTCAATTTATTATTATTATTATTATTATTATGAAGTTTGGTTATAGGGACCATGGGATGAAATACACTTTTATCTTCAAAGTCCTGTAGCTCTGCTGATGTGGTGAGAAGGTACAGGCACATACCATGTAGTGTCAGCCACAGGTTTCCCAGAGGAAATCTTGTCCTCTGTCTGATGAGGGGGCAGGTCAGGGAAGGGCTGTAGATGGGCTTAGTGTTCTCTCTGCTCAGCTCAGCAATAGCCCCATGCTGATGACAGGGAGGATTAGAAATAGAATGACTTGACTCTCCTAAAACCTGGGGGTCTTAGTGCTCTATTACAATAATCATCTGAACGGAGTGTCTTTGGCACCGATGCCAGATACGAGGCAACAAAGAATAAGCTCCCTACTAGACAACCACCAGAAACCCTGGAACTTTTCACTCCTCTAGTGGGAGTCTGGATATGAAAGTTAAAGCAATCCACCCAAAACTATGTCTGGTTATCACTTCGTCCTCTTTTGCCCAGTCTTAACTGTTCCTTTTCATGACCTGGTCTGGCTCCTGGATGATGACCCTTCTCAGGCCCAGAATGTCTTGACAAGGGCTTTTTTTTCCCATCTCCATTTCCTCAGGGATGGCAGACTGTCCTTAGGAGATGAGCTGCTGGTGATCAATGGTCACTTACTGGTCGGGCTCTCCCATGAGGAAGCTGTGGCCATTCTCCGCTCAGCCACTGGGATGGTGCAGCTGGTGGTGGCCAGCAAGGTAGGTAGATTTTGTCTTTTTTAGTATTTTTAATGGCAGTATGAAGTCAGACATGACCCTGCCCCATAGCATACAGACATGTGTATGCTCACGACTTACCTAGGGCCATGTAGCCACGATTCCACAGAGCAAGCACACATGGAGGCCCTTAGCTGAAGTACGCTGACTTATTTTAAGTTGTTAAAGGCAAATGTTGGAAAGAAGTAATAAAACTAAGGAGAAGGTAAGAATGATGGGGTTGAAGAAACAGTAGATCTTCCAGGAGAAACCAGAAAGGAGGTGCAGATGTGTTGCTAGGGAGGGAGATAGACATATGTTAGCTTGTTATCACCGTGATGAAATACCTGATAAACAATTTAAAGAAAAGCTTTATTTCATTTTTTAAAAATATTTTATTTATTATTTTTATTTTATGTGTATGTGTATAATTGCCTACATGTAGGTAAGTTCTCCCATGTTGTACAAAGTCTGCAGAGGACGGAAGAGTCTGTTGGATCCCCTGGAACTGGAGTTACGGACAGTTGTTAGCTGTCATGTGGGTGCTAGGATTTGAACCTGATCTTCTGCAAGAACAGTCAATGTTCTTATCCACTGAGCCATCCCTCCAGTACCAATTTTCATTTTTTAAACTTTTTTTTAATGTATGAGTGTTTTGCCTGTATGTATATAAGTGCACCCATGCGTGCAATGGCCGTGTCAGAGCTCATGGAACTGGAGTTAAGCCACCATGTGGGTACTGGTAACCAAACCCAGTGCTCTGAACTTCTGAGCCATCTCTCCAGCCCCTAGAAGAAAAGCTCTATTTGGGCTCTTGGCTTCAGTGTGGTGGGCTGGCTCCTTTTCCTTTAGTGCTGTGACAAGGCAGGAACATCATGGCAGGAGAGCACAATAGAAGGGAATGGCAGAGGAAATCTGCTCACCTCACAGCTATCAGGAAACCGAGCTGCAGAGAAAGAGGCCAGGGACAGGATAGGCCCTACAAAGGCACATACCCCCATGATTCATTTCCTCCATTAGGCCCCAACTTTCAATTTCTACCATCTCCCAGTATTTCAATTATGAATCATTGATCAGGTGAGAATCCTCAGGATCCAGTCATTTCTCAAAGTTCCACCTCTGAGCATTGCACTGAGGATCAAGTCTTTAATATACAAGCCTGAGGGGACATTTGTCTGTCCAAATCAAGAAATGGATCTTTTAACTCCAGAAGGAGGAAGGGCTCAGGGCTGTCCATGGATAGGGGCCCTGATGAAATTAGCCTCACAGTGTTGGAGCTGGAGGAAGCTTTGCAAAGCCTTTGTCCAGTCACCTCCCACCTTTCTTTCCATCTCAATGGCACAGATGAGATGGTGACACTGAGTATCCATGGTGGCTGCCATCTTGTAGGGCCGTGGTGGCTGTCAGCAGTGCCATGCACCAGGCTCCTGGCACACAACACATTCTACTGACAGGTCTTCCTCCTGGTTTTTGACATCTTCATGAGTTCCTGAGGCCTCTTTGATCTGGTGTGTTAATGGCAGAGTCTCTGTTGTGGGCTCCCAGTATCTGCATTCTTCCCCTGGAGAAAGACTGCATACTCCACAACCCTCCACAACTTCTTTCTGATCTGGCCTCTGGTTGTACTGTTGAGACCAGGAAAGGGGCCATGTGATTCAGCAGAGTGACTTGGAGCCACAGGGCTGTGTTCTACCTCTGGCTGCTGGCTGAGGAGAATCTCTTCAAACCCAAAGATGTCTTAGCTCTTCACAGCACTGTGCTGTTTCCAGTAGTTGTAATTTTTTTTTCTGTTTTCCCCATGGTTATTTTTGAGCCTGGCATCTATATGTTTTCATATGTATTTCCTTCTTAGATTGCAATATCCATTGCCGATATGAGGAATTCAGTTGGTCCTCCATACCCATCAATTCTACAGCCACAGATTCAACCAACTTTAGATGGAAAATACTCAAAGTAACTGCATCTATACTGAACACAGACTCCCCCCTTCATTGTTGTTCTCTAAACAATACAGTAACTATTTATAGAACATTCATATTGTATCGGATATTGGCGAACTGGGAATGATTTTAAGTGTACAGAAAGATGTATATGGGTTTTATGCAAATATTAAACCATTCTGTAGGCAAACTTGAATGTCCTTGGATTCTGGTATCTTCAGGGGAAGGGGTGTCCTAGAAGCAGACTCCCACAGCTACTAGAAGGACAACTGTATATAACGAATAAATTAGAATTCCATTTTTAGTTCTCTGAAAAATCTGCCTGCCTTTCTACTTTTTACCCCAAATCCTTGACTAAAATAGAGGCTTGCAAAGGCATATAGAGAGAGCCGTGGTGAAGAGGCAGAATCTGAGCCCGTTATACTTGCAGTCCTTTCCTCCCTGCAGAGGTTCCATGAGCCCTGGGAACTTCTCCGAAGTCCTTGGAGCCTCACACTCTGTGCCTGCCCAAGGGCCGCCTTATAGACCATGGAGAGAGGTGCTACAGGGGAAGGAGAGACCATTTTCTCATCTTGCCAAGCAAATGAAGGGTTTGAATGCTAAGCTTTACTCTACTAAGCTGTTAGTCACAACCACAAAGAAGACATGAGATGAAGGCAAAAACGAGCCACTCCTGGATGCAGTTAATAATGAAGGGATGTTCACAGGTCCTCAAACATAGCTCCTAATGATGCTTGGTCTCTACTAACCTTCCTACCCCCACCCCCTGCACGTTAGAGGAAGAGAGTCAAGGCATGCATCGGGTGCCATGTGCTTCTTCCCTAGAATCATCTCACCAGATTCTAAAAGAAATTAAAACAAATCCCCCGAGGTAGATAGATATGTGTTCTTTTTTTATTGAAAAGACACAACTTAAATCCCAGTGGTCATTTAACTTCCCTGAGGTCACACAGCAGTGAACAAAAGCAGCTTTTATGCCAAGTCCACTGGATTACAAAGTTCCTGCTACTTCCACACACCCAGCTGCCCCAGGTAAAGAAAGTATACAGGATGTCAGAGCAATGGAGTCAGAAAAAGATAACATGTTCTTGCTAGAGGCTTTGACTTTCAGGGACACGTGTTGGGGTCCTCATAGGGCTGAGTAACATTTGGGAGCCAGGACACAATGTCCATCCCACTTCTCAGTCCGTAGGCCCCTGGGCATCTGACTAAGACCTCAGAGAGTAGCACTTTTCCATTCATGCTATGCACCTCATTTACAGCCAGGCTGTCTATTCCTGAACCTGCTGCTGGTGCCTAACCCTCACCTCGACAGTCTAGGGGTACTCCTCTGTGTAGGAAGAAAAGAAGCATCCATCTTCAGGCTCCTTTTGGCAGCCGTTCCTCCTCTTTATCCAACAAGAGCAGGAAATCGTTGGGCTTTGTTTGGCCAGAGGGGGGGTGAGTTTCTGACCTGCTGACTATAAAGAATGATTTTTAAAAATGCAAATGCATATCTTTCTAGACCTAGGCACCTTGTCATAAAACTTTAAGGCTTTGTTTGAAAACCTAGTGGTTACATGAGCAAATGTCTCAACCAGGAATAGGTGGTTTGGCTTATGTTATAGTAAGAACTTGGGATGATTGTGTTCATTTTATTTTTTATTATATGTATATCTGTGCACATGAGCACAAATATGTTGGTCATGGGTCAAACTGGCAGGAGTTGGCTGTCTCCTTCCACTGTTTGAACTCGGGTCAGGCTTGGGCAAGCGCCCTTACAACTGAACATCTTGCTGGCCTGGTTTTGATATTCTTAGAAGCATTATGCAGCAATAACAATCTCTTGATTGCTTTTTATTTTTACTATTAGTTTTATTGGGTAATAAACCATGAGTGATAGTGTTTATTAAATCTTACATGGAAAAACAGAGATGATGAAACTTTGCTGGTACTACTAATATTACCATACACTAACTGCTGAGTCCTTGCATCAGAAGATTGTGTGTGTGCACGCACACATGTATACACATGCGCAATGTGCATGCTCACATTTTCTTTTCAATGAATCAAACTTGACATGGAGTGCACCCTGGAGACCAACTGCCCGCCCTGGACTTGCCAGCACCACCCCAGGAAAGCTGTGTGTCCTGGGCAAGTCATTATGTGTCTAAAATCCAGCCTTCTCCTCTGTGCAGAGAACTGCCTCTGAGGACATCACAGAGACTGAAGGAGGTAAGAAAGGCCCTGAGCAGCACGGCTGGACAGAGGGAGCAGTGGAGAAGTGACTGCCTTTCTGGTCAGCACATAGGAGCATGTCTGGTCTATTATCATACATGAGTAAATCATGGCTGTTAGATTTTTTTAATCTGCCTGCTCACTGAGTAGCTTGCTATGAGAACCTTTCCATGGAAGGAAATTTCTCAGTGCCATTTTTCATGGCTGTGACATAGACTATCCTGTAGCTGCTGTGCAATTGGCTCACCCGTTGGGACACTCATCTTTTCTAACTTTTTCCTGTTGATAGTCCAACAGAGTGGACAGCACAGAAGAGAAATGGTGTTGGATGGAAGGAGCTAATAGACTAGCAGACAAGTGAAATTAGACATATGCTGCAGAGCGTGAAAGAAATAACCAAGGACAGTGAAGAAGAAAGGAAAGGCAGTGCTGGGGATCAAACCAGGGCCTCACACATGCTAGACCAGCACTCTACCATCACACTATGTCTCTAGCCCTAGGAGGGGCTGATGGAATGCCTCCTGAGATGATTCTCATGATACAAATGAATGACCAGGTTTTGCAGAGCAGGTCATAGTCACAAGTTGAGGGTGGTCCAGACAGAGGAGCTACAGTCCAGGATTGGAAATGATTTGAGTAGAAGGTGAGGCCGGAAGAAAGAGGAGGTTTGGGGAGCTCTCTAAGCTTCAGAGCTGCCCATGAGGGGCTCACCCTGCATCCGGAGAGCAAGACAAAGGAGGCTCATGGGAGCATTGACCCAAGAAGCCCAGATTCTTCAGGAACCACAGAATTGGTTTGGGGTAAATTGGGTTGCCACCCCTAACAGTGATGGTGACCCCACACATGTGGACCATAAATTCCACATGCTCTCTGGGTTGGAGCTTGTGGCTGAACACGGCAGGTTGACTTCCAGAAGCAGCTGGTGCCAGGGGATAATTCCTGAGCCTTTCGTGTCCCCTTAGGAGAGCTCTACAGAAGACCTCCTGAGGTTAACATCGAAGAGTTTGCCTGACCTGACCAGCTCAGTAGAGGACATGTCGTCCTGGACTGACAACGAAGACCAAGAGGCAGATGGGGAAGAAGAAGGAACTGGCCCAACAGCCATCCAGGGAGTGGTAAGTGAGCTTCCGGGTGTTTTCAGCAGCAGTGAGGAAGCTTCCCTGAAGACCCAGGGGACAGTTCTGTCAGAGAGAAACATGGCACGTTCCTTTTATATTTTTCTCAGAATCTTCTGGAAACGTCTAGAAGGGAAACACATTTCATTAAGAAAATTGAAACTGGAAACTGACCATTTAGTTGGGTACATACATTGGCCTCTAGGATGCTTTAGCGTGTATACAAGGATGCTCTTGCCACTTCTTACAGGGTGTTTGAAAAGAGCTGTAAGGATTTAGATTTAGACTTATAGATTTCTGATTGAAAGTAGAACAAAACCACTTCAACAAATTTGTGTAGAATACACCTTCGAATTCCAGTCCTACCAGGACTCCCCACAGCTCACTGCTGAGCCTTTGTTCTGTGATGCTGTCACTTGTCACACACAGGAGGATGTCCTACTAGCAGATAGCCTTGTGGATTCCTGGTCTCTTTGTATCTCAGATCTGAAGAATGTGTGGTTATTACTGTAAGCTCTTACTGACCTAGTTCTCAATCCAACTCTCTTCCTGCCATTTGGAAACTATACTTCTCCCTTTGAGCTTTGAACTTAGAAAGCATGGGTAAGCATTAGAAAATCAGCTTTGTTGACCGTAAGACCTTCAAAGGAAAAAGAAAAAAACTGCATCTCTCATCATACTTACTAGAAAATGATACATTACATTTGAGAGGAAAGAAAAAGTTGCTTTTCCCCTGTCCTTTTATTCCCTGGAAATCTAGGGCCACCAGATACAGTAGTGCAGTCTGTGGACCACCCAAAGATATCACATATATATAAGGGAAAGTCATACTGCAAAAACCACACAGTTTTATATTTATTGTAACAGTTTTCTGGAAGCGGACAGTAAAGTTTTACAGCAAACCACAAGAACTTTCTGGTAAAAGAGGAAAAGCATCTTTAAGCAGTGTAGTTTTAGTCTGCCCAGTGGCATCACGGACCCAGGGTTGATGTCAACTGCTTTTGCCTCAAAGGCAAGCTTTCTCAGGAGGCTCACCCCTGCAAGCAAGTAAGCCTGCACTGAATGAACAGACTCAAGGTGGGCGCGGGCAGGTTAAACAACAACCATGAGGTTATTCCTTTCTCTGCAAGTGTGGTACCATTTGGGCTCTCCTTTGGCTTTCTGCAGGGGTAGAAGCGGAACTAATTTTCACAGCCTCCAAACACTCTGCCTGCCTCTCAGACCTCCTTGCACCAAGCTCACCATTAGTTCTAAGCAACCTCTGTGCTGCCCTTCTGTGGCCCCTCATGGCTGCTCCACACTTTCCTGTCACAGGACTTTGCAAATGCTCTTCTGTCTCTGGAATCCTCTTTGGGCAGTTGACTCAGATTCATCTTCTGGATCTGATAGTGACTTCTTCAGAAGGACTAAGTACCCTGTCTGTATTGAACCTCTCAGTTCCCACTGTGACTCTCCATGCACACCCCCTACGAACTGCTGGTCCCAGATTTGTTTGGCAAATATCTGAAGAGATGTGTTTGTCCAGTGTAGCTGTGAATGGCAGGAGGCGGGGGTGTGTGGCAACTGGTCTAGTGTATCTGTAGACTACATCTGATTGTTGAGCTATAAAATACAAAATAAACTAAAAATGGGATGCTAAGGATGAAGCTCACTTGGTAGAGTGCTTGCCTAGCATATCTAATGCCCTAGATTGGATCCCCAGCACCACATAAAGTAGGCTTTATGGTGTACACCTATAACCTCAGCACTTGAATCAGAAGTTCAAGTCATTCTCAGCTACATGGTTGGTTTGAGGCCAGCCAGGGCTACATGAGACCCTATCTCAAAAACAAAACAAAGAAAACTACAGTGTAGTATCAGGGCAGGTCCAAACACAGCTGGCAGCTCATGACACAGTGCTTCCAAGAGGCCGAGGGATTTTTTTATTATTATTATTTTTTTTCATTTCATTTTATGAGTGTTTTGCCTGCAAGTATGTAAGTGTATCATGTGCATGCAGTGCCTGCAGAGGCCAGAAGAAAGAGCTGTATCTCCTGGAACTGAAGTGATAGATGGTAGTTAGCCACCATGTGGGTGCTGGGACCTGAACCCTGGTCCTCTGTTAAGAGCAGCCAGTGCTCTTAACTGCTGAACCAACTGTCCAGCCCCTAGAAGGCAAAGTTTTAAAAAACACACTTATAACAAGCATTCATGGAAAACTTATTTCCTACTCTGTGGAGGAAAAATGAGAAATTGAAATAAAATCTAACTAGGTTTATTCTACCACCAAATTTTGTGGTTATTCCCACATCTGACCCCCAACACAGAAGCCTCAAAGAACCTTGGAGTGACATCTACATTCCTGTATCATTGGCTGCAGGGACAATGCAAGAATAAGCCTGGAACCAACTTGAGCATCCCACAACCCCACTCCCTCCAATGTGTTCCCACCCTCTGAGGCTAGAGCTCTCCTGAGCTCTCCTCCTCATGTCGTCTCTAGCCAGTGACCCACAACGTACCCCCGTGACTATCGTAATATGAGGAGATAGCATATGTGGCCGTCTCACTAGTGGACGTCCCACCCCAGCCCAACTGCCATACTGAGATCTGCTTCCCCTCTGGAGGCCAACTTGAGCCTTCATGCTCTATCCTCCCATGCCCACGGTATAGAAAGGAGTTGCTCAGAGGCATCTCAGCCAGCTACTGGGGCCCGGTGAACTGAGGCCTTGGAGCGAGGGGAAGACTGGCAGCACAGCACACGTCACCTTCTGATAAAGTCCCAGCCACTGTGCCGCACAGCAGGTCACTGTGAGAGATCATAATCGTGTTGGTTTCCCAGGTTGTACTATCTTGCAAAAATCTGGAAAGAATTATTTGTCTGTGATTTTTTTATACTAAATATTGCTCTAATAAATGACTCATTTATATACAATATACCATGTTCTATATTTTTTATTATATTTATTTTTTGTCTTTTTTTTTTTTTTTGTCTTTTTGAGACAGAGTCTCCCTGTAGCCCCAGCTGTCCTAGAACTCACTATGTAGACCAGGCTGGCCTTGAACTCACAGAGCTCCGCCTGCCTCTGCCTCCCAAGTGCTGGGATTAAAGGTGTGCGCCACCACGCCTGGCTTATCTTTTGTCTTTTTGAGAGGGTCTCTATGTAGCCCCAGCTGGCCTGGAACTCACTATGTAGATCATGCTGGCCTTGAACTCACTGAGATTTGCCTGCCTCTGCCTCCCGAGTACTGAGATTAAAGGCATGTGTCACTATACCTGGCTTATGTTATATGTTTTTGAATATTTAAACTTACAAAAAAGTGCTTTTAAAAATTTACTATGATTGGGCTGGGCATGGTGGTGCACACCTTTAGTCCCAGCACTCAGGAGGCAGAGAGACAGGGAGATCTCTGTGAATTCAAGCCCAGTCTAGTCTACATAGTGAGTTCCAGGCCAGCTGGGGCTACAGGGGAGATCCTGTCTCAAAAAGACCAAAAAGAAAAAACTACTATAATTTAAGTATTTCATGTAATTTATATGGATTTTTCTGATTAGCAAAGCAACATCTCACTATATACATGTTTTTGACCCCCAAAAGGAGTACATTCTCCTGTTAATCAAAGATGACCATCCTTAACATTTCTATGGCTTTCTAATTGACTTATTTCCCTCGAGTCTGTATATGTATTTTAACTGAGTTTACAAAACATGCTTGTAAACCTGCTGTGGTCTCAATTATATAATAGTGAGTGTTTCCCTGTGCCACTAAAGGGTTTTCTGAAGTACGGCTCATAACGGCAAATATTCCAATGACATGGGAACGCCATATCCAGTTATACTACTCAGATGCATATTCGGTTTTCAATGTGATAAAGAATTCTGTACATCTCTACCAGTCTGCATCTGTGCATGTTTTTATGTTTTTTTCTTAAATACCTTGTAGCAGATATTGCTAAGTCTCGGGGTTTTCCAAAGAGGTTGCACACACACACAAATAAAAATGTATTAGAAGCCACTGTGAAGAGGGGCACCTGAGCCCTTCAGCTTCCAGAAGATGCTCCACCGTTGCTCTGGCTGAGATCCTGTAGAAAGGAGAGCAGAAACTGAAAATAAGAAGACACCTGTGCTTTGTGGCACTGTACATGAGCCCTGCTTGTGGGTTTCCCAAGTTCCATTTCTCTGAAAGACCAGAAGTTATCCAGAAAGCCTCTCTCTATTGGGAGCATCTTCAGTCACCTTTCTCTCCCCAAGGAGAGCCTGACTTCTCAGGAAGTTGACACCTGGGGTCTATTGCCTGTTTATCTCTTAGAGGAAGGAAAGAATACATGCAGATTTGGTTTGGTTTTTAAGTCCAATGTGCCTCCTTGGGCTGCCTACATCCAGCAAAGTACCTTACAGTCAACACTTAGTACATATTTCTTTGCTGTGAACCTGTCTCTAAAGAGAAGTTTCTCCCAGTGTGGCCCATACACCAGCAGCATGAGCATCACTTAGGAACTTACTAGAAACACACATCCCAGGGTCCTACACTAAAGCAAGCACTCCACCCACCGAACTACCCCCAGCTTCCAGAAATCTGTTTAAAATCCCATTGATTTAGACTCAGGCTAAGGTTTCAAAATCCCTACCACATAGCCCTCAAATGACAAGGGCCACCTGTTTGTCACTGTGACTATTACTGTGCTCTGCCCAAGTATAAGTAATTACAGTTCATTTGGAGAAAGAGAATTTTCAGAAGAAAGGCCTAGGCTCTAACCCTCCAACAGAGTGACTCTTTCTGGAATCAAGAAGGGGCAGAGTTTTGGCATAATAGGGCATGAGGTGATTGGTGGCTCTTTAATAATGGGGAGGCTGTGTCTCTTTTTTTAAAATTTTATTTTTATTTTATGTGTATGCATGTATTACTTGCATGTAGGTAAGTGCACCTGTGTTGCGCAATGCCCACGGAGGTCAAAACATTCTAAAAAACCAAATGTGCAATTGTCGCAGTGCAGTGCAGCAAAGAAGTTTGTTCAGTGCATCA